AACCGTTGTTTTAGTAATTTTAAGTGGGAAGATAAATCTAGCCTCTGTTGGTTGGAAGCAGAAGCTGACTATTTTTAAATTGTGATGTTTTGTGCACAGAAGAGCACACATCTAATTATCTTGTAAAATATCTCTGAGGAACCAGAAATCAACCTAAATAATACATGCCAACTCTAGCTTTCACATTTAGTTTTTGGAACAAAGTTCTAAAAATTTTTGCATGAAAGCCAAAAAGCAGTTGATATAAATAATTACTTTGGTCCCAGATTTCACAGACAGATTAAAAAAAAAAAATCCCTGCATGATATGTCTCTGGTGCAAATATGGTATTTTTAAAATTTCCAAAATAATATTTGACAAGAAAAAATATCCCTTTGGAAAACATAATTTTATTTAAGTGATCATATTTGAGTTCTTTCCCTATCAGAAAAAGTATTATGCATGTAAAGTTTATCTTTTATTTTAAACTTTGTATGCTCCATTTTTATACAAACCTTCCTGTTGCCTATGAGCCATAAGAATTTTTGTCAGACCTTTGAGCAGGCAACAGATAATATTGTTGAAAGTCATGTATATATTACTTAGCAAAATAATTAGTAATATCCTTTCCAATTGTCATATTCCCCTTCTACTGCCAAGAAGTTATTTCTAGAGTAATGGTTTCCATTTAAATAATCACAGATATAAGCATTTATACTTGACACTTTGACCAAATCTTCCATGGGTGAGAGGGAGATTCCTCTTAGGACTCACAAGGAGTTTTGCTTTTAAAGGAAAACTTTACCTGTTAAGGTATGGGGATGTGAACTGCTGCATTGTTGTAGCAACAAAAGACAGAAAAAAATGAAGTGTCCTGTGGGAGACTAGTTAAACAACTTATGGCATAGCTATATAATGTATGTTAAAAAGAATGGTCTATAAGATATTGACAAGTAGAGCAGTGATGTGTGTGTGTGTGTGTATACATGTACGCACATGCATCTGTGTACACATAAGCTTAATCAAGTTTAGTCTATCTCTAGAGGAATATAAGAAACTGGTAACTGTGGTTGCCCCTGGGAAGGAGAATTGAAGATTGAGATGGAAGGGAGAGATTTATTTTTCACTGTATACTTTTATGCTATTTCCTTTTTAAAAGCCATATACATGTATTACTTTAAAAAATCCTGTTTTTAAAAAAGGAAAAAGAAAACAAACTGTTCTTGTTTTGACTTCTCTAATAGGAGTGATCGACACAGGAATTGCCCTATTTGTCGCCTACAGATGACTGGAGCAAATGAATCTTGGGTAGTATCAGATGCACCCACTGAAGATGATATGGCTAACTATATTCTTAACATGGCTGACGAGGCAGGCCAGCCCCACAGGCCATGACCTTGGAGTGAAGGTCTTCTGTTGCTATTGTAGGCTACAAATATTTGATCATGGGGGAAGAATGCAAGGTTGTGGCATAGACAGAAAAATCAATTTTCCCCACCCTTTTATTTTTGCTACTCTGATCATTTGCCCCACTTTAAAAAATAAACCTCCCATGTCTTCCATTTATGGTGAACTAAAATTTGCTACTGTTTTAGACCATATTTTCCTATTATTTATCTGTTCAAATTTGTATTACAACTAATTCCTCCTGAATTCTTTGCTAAAGGTAACAACACCACTTCCAGAGGCTTCTGAAACACTAACTGTTTTGTGAGGCAGGAGTATTCTGGAATCTTTTTAGTTAGCTATAAAATAAACCTCAAATATTAAAAAGTTGTAGCCATCTGAGAGAGGAAATTTTAAGTGACTGAAAATGTAGAATACATCAAAGTGCATGTTACTACTTAAAACTAGTGTTTCTGCTGGAATCTAAGGAGTATATATGCCCCCTTGTGGTTAATTATTGCTCCTTTAATAATTTTTACTTGAAATGATCCACAATTATTTCATAACTTTAACAGTGTGTTTTGGAACTACTGTACTTAGAGATTTTTTTGTTTGTTTTTGCCATACTGTATAATTTGGGTGAGGCCTATAAAGTTGGGTGTGACTTTCCCTTGCAAATGGATTTCTCCTGGGGAATTTTCTTGGTTGTTCTGGAAATGCTTTCCCTCAGCTGTATAACTGTTCTAAATGGCTTTGATAATGCTCACACATCTTGGAGTTTCAGAAGGAAACTTTTCTGCATCACAAATACCAAATTTTGTATTTCTAAATTACTATAAGTCATTTAATATTGGTTTATGGTGCTTTTTTCCCCTTAACTTGAAAACATCTTTCTGAGATTTCAGGGTCCTCAAATTTCATAGATTAAGAGACAAGAAGCCAGCATGATGGCTCACACCTGTATTCCAAGCACTTTGGGAGGCCAAGGTGGGTGCATCACTTGAGGTTAGTAGTTCGAGACCAGCTGGCCAACATGGTGAAACCATGTCCCTACTAAGATACAAAAACTAGCTGGGAGTGGTGGCAAGCACCTGTGATCTCAGCTACTCAAGAGGCTGAGGCAGGAGAATCGCTTGAACTTGGGAGGTGGAGGTTGTAATGAGCCGAGATTGTGCCACTGCACTCCAGCCTGGGAGACAAAGCAAGACTCCTTCTCAAAAAAAAAAGGACAAGAAAATAGAGTGATGCTTTTTTACTGTATATACATAAAATACGTCTGAAAATTAGAAGATAATTTGGCATTCTTGCCAATTATTTCATTGGAAGTACAGTTTCACTGTACTTCCATTGAAATATTCTCTCCATTAAAATAGTCTAAAAGAATATAGTAACAATGGAATTGTGATCTTCAGTCACAACTTAACCATTTTTTTGGCTTATCAACTAAATTTCTAACATTAACATTTTGGCATGTAATAAAACAAGGGCCTGACTCCTTTAAAATTTAACATTCCATATAACTTTTCTGACTTCTTCATAAGTTGCAAATATTACTATTTTCCTAAACCAGGGTACACAATTTAAGTTGCCACTGATTGAGGACAGAATTTTTGGATAATAGGATTTAAATAGACAAGCAAATAAAATTAAATCAATTTCAAGGAAAAACATCTGGTATTTCAAGGTAGCTTGAAATTTCAAATTCCAAGGTAGCATGCTCTTGCCCCAAAAAATGCTGAAGACTAATCCATTGACATTCATAATGGGACAGCTAAATACCAAATAGCTAACTACTCCCTATGGAGGTTTATGCAAGCAGAGTACCAGGGGTTCCATCATTTCAACCTGGCAATGCACTTGGTGGTTGTGTGACCTTGAGAAAGTCTCTTACTGTTGTTTGTAGGTTCCTACTTTAGAAACTGAGACTTTATTTGTGGTTTTCCCACTATGTCAGCAGCAAAAACTTTTTTTTTTTTTTTTCAAGGAAAATCTTAGAGAACCCTTAAACACACATGCATACACACACATCCTACCCCCCATATAAAAGTCATATTTTATTATAAATTTCCTTATTTATTAAATAAACTTTATATACTATAAATATGTCAACCAATAAAAACACATTAATGTGTTGGTAATAGCCAGTATGTTTGAATTTAATGAGTAACACACTTGTATAATGGGAGTTGTTTTTAAAAAAAAAAAAAATGTAATTCAAGTCAAATTTGCAGAACCCTGTATCTCCTCTATAGATTCTTAGTATTCCATGGAACATATTTTGAAAACCTTGGGATAGATAATCCACTGGGATCTTTTCCAGCTCAAAGATTTTAAATTGTCCTTTTGGATTAGACTTGATGAGTTTAATTCAGATTGCCTCATTTTAAAATGTTTCTGAAACATGAACAAAGTTACCTTACAGAGTTTTGCATCTTTCCAGGGTTAGCCAATGATTTTATCACCCAGAATCCTTCACCTTTCAAGGAATTATTTAACAATGAGACCAGTGACTCAACAGGGCCCAAACCTTATTATTTTACAATATGAGCTCCAAGACACTTACTGATCTACTGTGAATATAAAATATTATTAGCCTTATCAAATATCCAATAAATGAGCACAGCTGTTTGTTCGCTCTATTAAACTGGGTGATAATTCTTTAGATGTGACTGTTAGGTTCTACTGTAATAACTAATCGTAAAAGTTGTAAATTTGTTTGATGGATGAAATGTACACTTTTTGTATTCTGTACAGCTTTGTCTTTTTAAAATATGAAGTACTTAAAAGTACTTACTATAATAGGAAATATAATGTGTGCCTTCTAGGATTTGTGAAGTGGTTTCATGAACTCTACGGAATTTGTTTTATAAGTTATAAAGTTTTCCCTATCCTAACTCAGTAACAGAGGGTTTACTCTTATTACGTATAGAACCTTAGTTTGAGAAAATGAATTTGACTATGTACTGAATTTAGAGGTTGAGAATAATAGTATCTGTGTTATTCTTAGGACCACTGATAAATTATGCAATAAATAATCTTTCGCAAGTAATTTTAACTAATTGAAGAGATTCTTTTCTTATGTAATTTCACATTCTAATATACCAAATGATTCTATTCCTTAGAGGACTATTTTATATTATGCTCTTGGGATTTGTGGTGTTTGTGTGCCATTTTAAAATTCATTTCAAATTGGACTCGATTTCCTTATGTCTAATACATACCTGGGAGAAAGGCTGCTTGAAAATATCTTTTGATTCAGTGATTTTCAACATTGGGAAGCTGAATTTATTAAAAGATAGTCTGAATAATTTGCATTTTTAACTGTTACTGTCTTAAGCTTACTTTGTCTAACCAGGAATAAGAAAACTACTTGGAGATGGCCAGACGCAGTGGCTCACGCCTGTAATCACAGCACTTTGGGAGGCCGAGGCAGGCAGATCACGAGGTCAGGAGTTCGAGACCAGCTTGGCCAACATGGTGAAACCCCATCTCTACTAAAAATACAAAAATTAGCCTGGTGTGGTGGTGCATGCCTGTAATCCTAGCTACTCAGAGACTAAGGCAGGAGAATCTCTTGAACCCAGGAGGCGGAGGTTGCAGTGAGCTGGGGTTTCAGTGAGCTGGAATTACACCACTGCACTCTAGCCTGGGGGACAGAGCAAGACTCCGTCTCAGGCAAAAAAAGAAAAAAAACCTACTTGGAGATTAGGGAAGTCAGCAGGTCACTCACATTTATGCTGGGCAACACAATGACAGTATCATATAAACATAAGCAGCTGACAGTAGACTTATTTTTTCTTATGTCTTTTTACCCTGCTGCAGTGGTTCGCAATCTTTTTGGCACCAGGGACTGCTTTCATGGAAGACCATTTTTCCACAGACCTGGGGTGGTATGGGCATAGTTTCAGGATGAAACTGTTCCACCTCAGATCATCAGGCATTAGCTAGAGTCTCATAATCTGCATGCACCCTAGATCCCTTGTATGCGCAGTTCATAATAGAGTTCACGCTCCTTGAAAATTTAATACTGCCACTGATCTGACAGGAGGTGGAGCTTAGGCTGTAATGCTCACTCGCCCACCACTCAACTCCCGCTGTGTGGCCAGGTCCCTAACAAGTGGCAGACGGTACTGTCCACAGCCCAGGGGTTGTGGACCCCTACCGCAACAGACAGTAAAAATAAGAAAATACTCAACCATATTGTAGTTTGTTTACCTTGTAAAATCATTTCCAAAATATAAGAATGTAATTTGAGAAGCAATGTAGAATCTTAGTGCTGAAAAGTGCAAAGACATAAGAATGAATGACAGTTGGTAGTTAATTTGCTGATACCATACTGTGGAGAAATTCACATTTTACTAAAAAGACATAAAAGCCTTTGCAGAGATAGGTTTTGATAATCTTGTACTTTACAGTCTAAAATTTCCAAGGAAGTATGTGTGTCTGGTTAGTGTTCCTTTTATTAGAATTAGTTACACTTGTTTTTTATAATGGTCATAGTTCAGTCATAGAATATTTGGATATATCACCTTCAGTCGTGTCTCAAACCCAGGAAATGAAGAATATTGTTTCACCAACACTCAGAAGAGAAAGCAAGAGAGATGTGCCTTCAGCTCTTTTCTAATCCATGAGGCCATGATAAATATCAACCCAGGAGCTGTGATTTGTTTTCACTAGGCAAAGAGCAATGATGTCGATCGTTTCAGCGATACAATTTGAAGTAACACGTAAAGTGAACTTGAGCCCTTATGGGTAAGTAAGGGATAACATGCCTCAAAACCTGTTCCTTTAGAAATCTGAGCCAATATACAATTAATTGCCATTTATTCCAATTGCAAACGCAAAAGAAAGTAGGGATTTTTTCCCAAAAGGCCAATTAAGTATAACAATGTAATAAAAGCACAAAGTACTATAGAAAAGATGTCTGAAAAGCTTGCAGGACAGGTAAAATCCAATAGGTGTTAGCTGGACAGACTAAAGTAATATCGCAGGAAGAGGAAATGAACATGTATAGCTTTGCTTATGAACTATAACAGGGTAGGAGTTAGAGAAAATGATAGCAAAGATGTATCTTCTGGGTCTAGCGAGCTTCAGTTTGAAAATTTTGTGTTTTCCTAGCGAATGTCATTCATGTCTGAGTCTTAGTAAAAGATAAATTAGCTGTTATTATTGATAGCTTTTCATGGTGCCCAATCTTAGAGTAAAAAAAACTTTAAACATTTGTTTTAAATATGATTATCTTGAAATAGTTTTAAATATTTGAGCCACAGTCCTAACAGATTTTATTTAACAATTTAAAAAAAGATACCTGATACAGATAAAATGACAATGAGAAACTACACAATACTTCCTATGTTAGGGCAAATGTTTACAAATGGGGGGCTTTTCAAAAATAATCCCTAATATAACAATGGATTTTTATTCGATTTCATAATTAGCTGCAAGATAGTATATATATTTGCCTAGTAAAAATACTGTGTTTATAGTTCCATATGCTAAATTCACCAGTGGAGGAGACAGGCATAAAGTCACAAGAGGAGATAATCTAAAGTCAAATAAGTTCACAGGCAGAAATAGGGTTCTTCTAACTATAATGATTCAAAAAGGCCTCTTGTAGTCTGAATTTGACCGCAGGAACAGGCTATAGTTGAGCAGCCTCTTGAGTACTAAGAGCACATGTCCTTAAAATGTTGCCAAAAGAAATTAACTTATTGAATATGTATTCATTGAGCACCTGTAACACAGGCACTAGTAACACAGAATAAGAGTACATTGGTAAAGCTTAATTCAGATTGATCTTTTAAAATGCTTTCTACTTGGCCCCTGGGACCATTGTATCTTCTAAAGTCATCATAGTAGGTAAGGGGAAAATTTTACCTTAAAAAAAATGCACCAGATTACGTTGATGAAAGAACACACACACAACTAACATTTGTGAGGTCTAATGGAATAGTGGGGAAAGGACAGGATTTGGAATAAGGAAACCCAGTAGTAGGCCTATTATTAGCTGTGCAACCTTAAGTAAATTTCACTTCTCCCACCTCTTAATTGGTGAAGTGATAATTGGCCTGCAGTCATAGAGTATTAGAGCCAAAAGGAACAGAGATCATCCATCTAGTCCTGTGTTTTTCGGAGTTCTTCATTCAAGTGAAAATGTTATGTAGCAGTTGCAGTGTAAAACTAATGAATGCAGAGTCCCTTTGACAGCCCCTGAATGTCACTCCCTTTCCTCCCCCACTCTAAAGTATTCATGAGGGGATTCACAGAACACCCTGAAAGCCACTCATCTAGTCCAAACCCTCATTTTGTAGGTGAAGAAACCAAGACTCAGAATAGGAGTGGCTGTTTTAATGAGTACATTTGGCTTCCAACTAGAAAGCGGGGAGGAGGGCTAAATAAAACGGTTTAAGAACTTCACTAAAAACACAAATTGTCAAGAAGGAAGTCTTCCATTTTAACTCCCACAAAATAGCCTGTTTATGAAATGGAGCTTTGAAATTGATTGTGTTTAAGGCAGCCAGCCATCCAGAGGCTGAAATGAACAACTATCATCAATTAGCCTATTTGGGCCAATGGAGAAAAGTATGGCAGAAAACCACACAGACCTCATGTCACTTGGCATCTGACCATGGAAAATCTTGGCCCCAACAGTTCAAGCACTGGCAGTTTCAAGAGAAATACTTGAAAAATTAAGAACAAGTATAGACAAGTGCCCAGCTCCCAGATCCCCAAAGGAGAAGTCGCCATCTTGTTACTCAGAAATACTAACAAACGTGAGCATGTTAATTCTTAAAGTGAGCAATGCAACCAAAATCATCAGTTTGAAATTTCTTCAGAGGCATCCTCTTCAAAGAGGAAAGTCCTAGTTTGGAATCTTGTCCACTGTTAGCCACAGCAGACTTGAAATTAAACCAAAAAGTTAAAATGCATGTCAAATGCTGGAGCTATTTGGTCAAGGCAGTGATCTCTTCTGATTTCATGGCATCAGACAGGTAGCTGAGCTCATTGCATAAGGTCTCATATCGGAATGCCATCCGGATCTGAGCAACATTTGTCTTTCGAATATCATTTCCTTCAGGTCCTTCTTTATAATAATTTTGTCCCAGAAACTTTTGCTTTTCCTGTGGACCAAGAGAAATACAAATGAAACAATATACTTTTGATTCACTTTCTACAGCCACATGGGCAGCTTTGACATCAGTCACAGCAAATCAGACTAGTCTCCCTGAAGCTGATCTTCAGTCAGGACATCTTATCTCCACAGGACTCATATTCCTCTTGGCCTCCGTGTCCTCAAGGATGTCACCCTTACAACATCAGTCATCCTCAGACTGCCCTTCATTCCTGGCTGTGCTTTCCTTGATCAGAGAGAAAAGATGATAAGGTCTGCAGCAGCTGCTGGGGATGGGGAAGGAGGTAAGCTTTAATTAAGAAGTCCCTCCAGAGAGCCGACAAGGACAGTGTTTCTGGGGAGAGCCAATCCAAGGAACCATACTGCACATGAAAAGAATCTTAAGCCTGGGGAGGGAGTCCAGATGGCCGAATAGACACAACTCCCAGCACACAACACCCAGGGAGAGAGATGCAGAAATCGAGAGATCTCCTAGTTCCAAGGAACCAGGTGCATTTCAACAGGTCTGGTCGGACAGTAAGCAAAGCCCAGGCAGGGCAGACCAAGGCGGGGAGGGGTGCCACTACACCCAGAAAGTACAACTGACCAGTGAGTCAGAGGCTCCCTCTCTGGCACTCCAGTCCAGATACAGCACTTCCCCCAAAGCCTCAGCAATACACAGAACAGGGGATCTTTGCCAGTCAAGCACCAGGAATTACAAGCGCAGAGTTGAATAATCAGGATAGTGTCCGGATTGGCGCACAGATCTAAGCAAACACATTAGCCCATAGGCTAGCCAGCAGAGGCCTGTGGACTGAGCTAGTGCCCCCTCCCCCTGCCCAGAGAGACAGGGAACTGAAACCAGGAAGACAGATGGTGCTGCTGGGTGGGTCCCTACCCTCCCTGACAAACCCAAGGGCTGAAGCACTAACTCTAGTGGATTAGGCAGCCAGTTCTTCAGTCTGAGCTGAACCCTGAATGATCCAGCCCTGTGGAGGAAAGACACAAGCCACCATTAAAGGAGTGGGACTAGGTATCATGTTTTAACAAAAAACACAGGAAGCCTACATAGCAGTGGGATGGTGTTCTTGACCACCTAGCAGCATCTCCAGGTCAGTGGAACACGCAGACCTAACCTCCCAGTGTAAACAAGACACAGGAAGCTTACCTAGTAACCTGAAGGAGTCCCTAAAAACCCAGTAGTGCCTCGACAGGCAGACAAGCAACCTCATCAAGCAGCTCCCTGAGATTACAGCCAGGTAAACCCACAAAGATGGGAAAAAAATGCACAAAAAAGATGAAACCATCAAAGACCAGAACACCTCTTCTCCTTCAAGGGATCACAGCTCCTCAACAACATGGGAACACAACATGATCAAGAAAGAATGTGATGAATTTACAGAAACAGACTTCAGAAGGTGGATAATAACTTTTCTGAGCTAAAGGAACACATTCTAACTCAATGCAAAGAAACCAAAACCTTGAAAAAAGGTTAGATGAAATGCTAACTAGAATAACCAGCTTAGAGAAGAACATAAACGACTTGATGGAGTTGAAAAACACAGCACAAGAACTACCTGAAACAAACACAAGTTTTAATAGCCAGATTGATCAAGCAGAAGAAAGAATATCAGAGATAGAAGAACAACTCAATGAAATAAAGCGAGAAGACAAGACGAGAGAAAAAGAGTGAAAAGAAATGAACAAAGCCTTCAACAAATACGGGATTATGTGAAAAGACCTAATCTATGCTTGATCATTGTACCTGAATATGACGGGAAGAATGAACCCAAGCTGGAAAACACACTCCAGGATATTATACAGGAGAAATTCCCAAGCCTAGCAAGGCAGTCCAACATTCAAATCCAAGAAATACAGAGAAGTCCATAAAGATATTCCTCAAGAACAGCAACCCAAAGGCATATAATAATCGTCAGATTCACCAGGGTTGAAATGAAGAAAAAATGCTAAGGGCAGCCAGAGAGAAAGATTAGGTCACCCACAGAGGGAAGCCAATCAGACTCACAGCGGATCTCTCAGCAGAAACCCTGCAAGCCAGAAGAGAGTGGAGCCAATATTCAACATCCTTAAAGAAAAGAACTTTCAACCCAGAATCTCATATCCAACCAATCTAAGCTTCATAAGTGAAGGAGAAACCAAATCCTTTACAGACAAGCGATTACTGAGAGATTTTGTCACCACCAGACCTGCCCTACAAGAGCTCCTGAAAGAAACACGAAGCACAGAAAGGAACAAGTACCAGCCACTGCAAAAGCACACCAAGTGGCAAAGACCAAAAATGCAATGAAGAAAAATGAGTCAACTAATGGGCAAGAAAACCAGCCAGTAACAAAATGGCAGGATCAAATTCACATAACAATATTAACATTGAATGTAAATGGCCTAAACGCCCCAATCAAAAGACACAGACTGGCAAACTGGGTAAAAAGTCAAGACCCATCAGTGTGCTGTATTCAGGAAACCCATCTCACATACAAAGACACACATAGACGACTCAAAATAAAGGGATGATTTACCAAGCAAATGGAGATTAAAAAAAAAAAATGCAGGGGTTGCAATCCTAGTCTCATAAAACTGACTTCAAACCAACAAAGATCAAAAGAGACAAAGAAGGGCATTACATAATGGTAAAAGGATCAATCTAATAAGAATAGCTAACTATCCTAAATACGAACCCAACACAGGAGCACCCAGATGTATAAAGCAAGTTCTTAACAACCTAAAACGAGATTTAGACTCCCATACAATAATAGTGGGAGACTTCAACACTCTACTGTCTATACTAGACAGATGAACAAGACAGAAAATTAACAAGGACATCCAGGACTTGAATGCAGAGCTAGACCAAGTGGACCTAATAGACATATACAGGATGCTGCATCCCAAATCCACAGAATATACATTTTTCTCAGCACCACATTGCACTTACTCTAAAATTGACCACATAATTGGAAGCAAATCACTCCTCAGCAAATGCAAAAGAATGGAAATCATAACAAAAAGTCTATCAGACCACAGTGCAATCAGATTAGAACTCAGGATTAAGAAACACACTCAAATCTGCATAACCACTTGGAAACTGAACAACTTGCCTCTGAGTGTTGACTGGATAAACAATGAAGTGAAGGCAAAAATAAAGGTGTTCTTCAAAACCAATCAGAATGAAGACACAACTTACCAGAATCTCTGAGACACCTTTAAAGCAATGTCAAGAGGGAAATTTATAGCAGTAAATGCCCACATGAGAAACAAGGAAAGATCTAAAATTGACACCCTATCATCAAAATTGAAAGGGCTAGAAGAGGAAGATCAAAAAAACTAAAAAGCTAGCAGAAGACAAGAAATAACCAAGATCAGAGCTGAACTGAAGGAGACAGAGACACAAAAAAACCCTTCAAAAAAGCAATAAATCCAGGAGCTGGTTTTTTCAAAAGATCAACAAAATAGACCGCTAGCCAGACTAATAGAAAAGAGAGAAGAATCAAATAGATGTAATTAAAAAAGATGAAGCGGATATCACCACTGATCCCAAAGAAATACAGACTACCATCAGAGATTACTACAAACAGCTCTATGCACATAAACCAGTAAACAAGGAAGAAATGAATAAATTCCTGGACAAGTGTACTCTACCAAGACTAAACCAGGAGGAAGTCGAAACCCTGATGAGACCAATAACAAGGGCTGAAGTTGAGGCAGCAATAAATAGCCTACCAGCCAAAAAAAGTCCAGGTCCAAATGGGTTCACAGCTGAATTCTACCAGACGTACAAAGAGGAGCTGGTTCCATTCCTTCTGAAACTATATCAAACAATACAAAAAGAGGGAATCCTCCCTAACTCATTTTATGAGACCAACATCGTCCTGATACCAAAACCAGGCAGAGACTCAACTAAAAAAGAAAACTTCAGGCCTATATCCATGATGAACATCTCCACAAAAATGTTCAATAAAATACTGGCAAACCGAATGCAACAGCACATCAAAAAGCTTACTCATCACGATCAAGTAAGGTTCATCGCAGGGAAGCAAGGCTGGTTCAACACACACAAGTCCATAAACAATCCATCACATAAACGGAACCAAAGACAAAAACCACATCACTATCTCAATTGATGCAGAGAAGGCCTTCGACAAAATTCAACAGCTCTTCATACTAAAAACTCTCAGTAAACTAGGTATTGATGGAACATATCATAAAATGATAAAAGCGATTTATGACAAACCTATAACCAATATTGTACTGAACAGGCAAAAGCTAGAAGAATTCCCTTTGAAATCAGGCACTAGACATGGATGCCCTCTCTCACCACTCCTATTCAATATAGTATGGGAAGTTCTAGCCAGAGCAATCAGGCAAGAAAAAGAAATAAAGGGTATTCAATTAGGAAAGGAGGAAGTCAAACAGTCTCTATTTGCAGACGACATGATTGTGTATTTAGAAGACCCCATTGTCTCAGCCCAAAATCTTCTCAAACTGATAAGCAACTTCAGCAAAGTCTCAGGATACAAAATCAATGTGCAGAAATCACAAGCATTCCTTATATACCAATAACAGACAAACAGCCAAATCAAGAGCAAACTCCCATTCACAATTGCTACAAAGAGAATAAAATACCTAGGAATACAACTAACAATTTAAAGGATCTCTTCAAAGAGAACTACAAACCACTGCTCAATGAAATAAGAGAGGACACAAACAGATGGAAAAACATTCCATGCTTATGTTTAGGAAGAATCAATATCGTGAAAATGGCCATACTGCCCAAAGTAATTTATAGATTCAATGCCATCCCCATCAAGCTACCCATGACCTTCACAGAACTGGAAAAAAACCACTTTAAACTTCATATGGAATCATAAGAGAGCCTGCATAGCCAAGACAATCCTAAGCAAAAAGAACAAAGCCAGAGGCATCACACTGCCGGACTTCAAACTATACTACAAGGCTACAGTAATCAAAACAGCATGGTACTGGTACCAAAACAGAGACATAGACCAATGGAACAGAACAGAGGCCTCAGAAGCAACACCACACATCTACAAGCATCTGATCTTTGACAAACTTGACAAAAACAAGCAATGGGGGAAAGGACTCCATGTTTAATAAATGATGTTGGGAAAACTGGCTAGCAATGTGCAGAAAGTAGAAACTGGACCCCTTCCTGTCACCTTACACTAAAATTAACTCCAGATGGATTAAAGATTTAAACATAAAACTTAACACAATAAAAACACTAGAAGAAAACGTAAGCAAAACAAGCCAGGACACAGGCATAGGCAAGGACTTCATAACTAAAACATCAAAAGCAATGGCAACAAAAGCCAAGATAGACAAATGGGATCTAATTAAACTCCAGAGTTTCTGCACAGCAAAAGAAACCATCATTAGAGCGAACCAGCAACCAACAGAATGGGAAAAAAATTTTGCAGTCTACCCATCTGACAAAGGGCTGATATCCAGAATCTACAAAGAACTAAAACAGATATACAAGAGAAAACCAACCGACCCCATTCAAAAGTGGGCGAGAGGATATGAACAGGCACTTTTCAAAAGAAGACATATATGAGGCCAACAAACATGAAAAAATGCTCATCCTCACTGGTCATTAGAGAAATGCAAATCAAAACCACATTGAGATACCATCTCACGCCAGTTAGAATGGTGATCATTAAAAATATCTGGAGACAACAGATGCCGGAGAGGATGTGGAGAAATAGGAACACTCTTACACAGTTGGTGGGAGTGTAAATTAGTTCAACCACTGTGGAAGACAGTGTGGCGATTTCTCAAGGATCTAGAAATAGAAATTCCATTTGACCCAGCAATCCCATTACTGGGTACATACCCAAAGAACTATAAATCATTCTACTATAAAGACACATGCACATGTATGTTAATTGCCACCCTTTGTACAATAGCAAAGACCTGGAACCAACCCAAATGCCCATCAGTGATAGACTGGACAAAGCAAATGTGGCACAACACACCATGGAATACCTAACTACCATAAAAAACGAGTTTGTGTCCTTTTTAGGGACTTGGATGAATCTGGAAACCATCATTCTCAGCAAACTGACACAAGAACAGAAAACCAAACACCACATGTTCTCACTTAAAGGCAGTGTTGAACAATGAGAACACGTGGACTCAGGGAGAGGAGCATCACACACTGGGGGCAGTTGCAGGTGGGTAGGGGAGGGATAACATGGGGAGAAATGCCGGATATAGTATGCACCTATGCAACAACCCCGCAT